TCAAATTTCAAAGCTAAGATAAAAAAAAGCATGTTTTTCCAACACTACTCATGCATCTAAAAGCCTCCGGTTAGTTATAAGCAACACTAGCGTTAACCCAACTCAATAGCCCCACTTCACCCTTTCAGACACTATATTTTTTGCGAAATAGGAGTTTCCTATACTAATGTCAAACTATATTTTTTGTGAATTGAACGTAGTTCATTTGATTAGGTTCCTTGCTGTGGTGGAATAAATCCATCTAGGTTCAAGTATTAGGTTTGCTATGGGCGCTCATATTTTTTTAGATTTATTTGTTATTCTTTTGTTGGTAGGCGATGTATCCATCGACAACAAGACATCTATGTTGATTCTATCAATCGCAAAAATCTATCGGCTCAGTCTTGCAGAGATGCTTATAGAGGCAGAGTGTGTGCGTCAGTGGTGTGTTCATAGGGACGAGTATACGTGCATGTACATGAATGCTTGCGTTCATATTGTGAAAAAACTGGTATATTTTGTTTTCTAAACTTGGCAAAATTGAAACTGTTGCGAGAGTTGAAAAGCAGGTGTGCCTCCTGGCCACGTCCATGGACAAGCAAGGCCAGCGCATGAGTGTGTGACGGCCCACCTGGAGCCTTGAGGATGAGAGCTTCTCGCGGGCCTGGATCACGTGCGTGGATGCGCAGGTGGCAGCTAGATCCAGCCCAGAGCTAAGTAGTAATCAATCTACTGTTGCATCCTAGCCCGACGGAAATAAAGGCCAATTTTGCCTTTCGTTCGGATGCTCCAGTGTTGTGTGAGCAGCGTGGTATTTTGCCATCACAAGCTGGTGTGCTTCCCCTCCAAAAAAAAAAAGGCTGGTGTGCTAACACTTGGCCCTCTGTGTGGCCGGAATTCTTCGGGTCCGAACGTTCTGACCTGAATGACCCGCCGATGATTTCCCGCGCGATTGTTTTCACCTGCGGATGCTACATTCGGGTGGGGCTGCGGGAGCTGCGGTGCTGCGTCGCCGCCGCGGATGCTGCTTGCGTGGACGGCCCACGATGCGGCCGGTCCACAACCAGGCTGGATAGTTGGTGTCGACGTTTCAATTTTTTTTATTTTGTTTTCTTGTTTCATTTCTTTTCTTTTTTCATTTATTTTTTATTTTCTTTTCTTTTCTTTTTTTCCTTTCGTGCATCATTCATTTATTATTCTTTTTCTGTTTTATGTGTTTATTATTATTATTATTTTTATATTTTTTACCTTTCTTTTATTTCTTTTTTTTGTTTTTTTTTCTTATTATTTTTATGATGTTCTATGTTGTTTTTTGATGTTTATGTAGTATAATGTGATGTTCTACGTTTTTTATGTTCACGTGTTGTACATGTGATTTTTTGTGATGTTTTTTTGATGTTCAAGTGGTATATACATAATGTTCTATGCTGTATTTTACGATGTTCGCGTAATATACATGTGATGTTCTCGTTTATACATGCGATGTTCTATGATGTTTTTGTGATGTTTTACACAGTATACATGTGATGTTCTATGATGTATTTAGTAATGTTCACGTAATATATATATGCGATATTCTATAATATATTTAGTGATGTTCTATGGTGTATTTAGTGATATTCACTTAGTATACATGTAATAATCTATAGTATATTTTAGAATGTTTGAAAAGTATCCATGTGATATTCTTTTTTAATTTTTCTCTATTACATTTTTTATTTTTTCCAAATGCTTTGCTCTAGATTTTATTTTTTTATTTATGTTATGTATTTACTTATTTATTTTTATGTATATTATAATATCAATATCATGAACCTAAAACTTAGAACATTGTTCTTCTAAATCTAGAACATTTTTCTTATAAAGACATAACATTGTTATTTGAATCTAGAACATCGTCTCTGCTTAATAAAAAGTGTTATATCTTTATAAGGTAAATGTTCATTAATAAAAATTGACCTAAATATATCCATGTGGGATCTTGTTTTGAAAGATTTATTGCAAGAAACCTCATGGTGTAATCGGAATTTAATTTGGATGTTTGGTTTAATAATTATTATTATTTTTAGTTCGTGCATGTGGTGGGCCCTTATCTGTGCGCTAATTATTTCCGGCGCCAGGGATCCGCACGCAGGCGCGCGCTGCCGGCCGGCACATTGTTAGCGTCCATTCAGCGGACCCTAACAGCCTCCCTATGTGGCCACCCACCAGTCCACCAACAAGCAGGGTTGCAAAGTCTAGTGTTTCGATAATGGCTCCAAATATTTCCCACGGGTGTGGAATCATTTTGAAAGATTTTCATTTGAATCATGCAATTTTTTTAGTATCATTATTTAAAAAATAGATAAAAAAATTGCGTCCAATAGAATTTGAATTTAACCTATACCAAAGGTTTAGAAAACCTTTATACTTGTATATTTCTTGGAACAAGAAAAATAATAAAAAATAGTTAGGCTCAAACTCTTTTAGGAGAGAAAAGCAAATAAGTATAAATAGATGGTAATCATAAAAAAAGGAATATGAAGCATGTAGTCAGGATTGAAACTTGTCTCGTATGTCCATTGGTGTTTGCTGTATTCCCAAATATGAAGAAGTGACTTGGGTTGACTTATAAATGTTATATATCGAGAAAGGATATTTCTTTAGTAAAAAAATAGTGACATTACAAATATAATGTTATATCTCAGTATAGAAGATAAAATCATTAAAATAATGATATATTTTTGTTTTACTGACCCTAGGGATAAAATAAATCCTTTGGCTCACACCGCTTTTATAGCAGAGATTAGTGGGTTGGGGGCTATATGGTCTAAACTTGAAGCCGTGGGCAGGCTAGAGTGATTTTGCCAATTCAGACCCTTTTTGGAATGAAAGACTTTTTTTATATTTCCTGTGTTTCCCCATGAAAATAAATTGATTCGTGTGATATTCCTATGTTCTAAATAAAGAAATCCTTAAATCTTTGATAAGTTATTGAAAAAATAATATGAGTACCTATTTTATACTATCTCTACTTATTCGATACTTCGGAGCACCTTTTTTAGATATCTTCTATTTTTCTACCACTCGATTTCCCTTTACATCTCTTTTTTTTCAAACCACTACAAAACCTTTTTTTTAATACGCAAGAGCGTTGCGTATCATTTATATCAAGAATAAGGATTTTACAGTACAAGTGGCCTGAGCCGGCCCGGCTTTGCGCTAAAGATTACATTTTTGAAGAAAAACAACCGCAGCTCTTGATCGTTTGCACTAGCCTTGCTGCTGCGCTCTCAGGCTCGCCATTCCTGCTGCACCCGCCTCCATCCATCTGTCGGCCTCGGCCTGGATGATCGGGATGAGCTCCTCAATCGGTTGCAGCGCAGCATCCCTGAAGCACCGCGCGTTCCTTTGCTTCCAAACCTCTCAGGAAACCAGCGCGAACAGCGAGTCCATGCCGGAGCACTGGGTGTCGGTCCAATCGTCAGAGCGCAGTCACCGCCACCAGTCGATGATTGTTGCTGAACCTTGCGGAAGCTGATGACCGAAGGCTTGGTAGATTAGGCTCCATACTCCCCTGGTGTATGGGCATGTGACGACTTTGTGTTCGATGGTTTCCGGCACCTGATCACAGAGATAGCAATGCTCCCCCGCTTCCAGTCCGTGGCGTCTGCGGCGATCCCCCGTCCAGTGTCTGCTGTAGTGACCTAGAATCAAATGAGTTTCCCCTGAAAACTTTTTCCCGAGACGCTTGCACAAAAGTAGACGAATCATGATCCACAAATAGCCTTGATCATTCCGAGATAGGGGAGATCGATGAAAGGATGATTGTATCTGACTATTTGAGGCCCCAAGTTTCCCAATCAACTCTACTCTTTTTTTTTTGTGGAAAATCAATCAACTCTACTCTAGGATGAAATGATTAAACAACTGGCTGACCAACCACCCAAATGGTTCGTCTTGCGGAAGAAATAATGTCAAATCATGGAGCAAAGACGACGGTCACGAAGCACTACGGCAGAGAGCTAAAGCGCACAGCCGCCCAGTAGCTATACGAGAGAGCACTCATGTATGCATGTCCCTTTTTTGTTTCTTTTGGAGATTTCTAGAGGCCCAAGAGCGAGGAGCAGAGGCCCAAAGAGCTATATTCCTCACCTCCTTTGTGTCTGTGGTTGCCAGCTTCATCCTCGATTCGAGCATGCAGATTACTCCCTCTAGTCTAAAATAACTATTTCATGATTCATTTTTCTAAAATTTTGATCACATATATTAAAAATATATACTAATATTTATGATTTATAATAAACATTATTAGATTAATAGTAATTGAATATATTAGAATTATATAATAAATATGTTAGAAAATAAATACAAATGTTGATAATGCTTTTGAAAATCTAGTTAAACTTTTTCAAAAATAATTTTTCAAAATACAATATCTACGGTTATTTTGGGATGGAGGAAGGACCGCTGGTGGTGGACTGGTCAGTGGACAATGCTATGGCTGTGAGTCTGTGACCTCATCAGCACACGCAGATTCTCTGAATCTTGGGTTCTTGTTTACGACCGATCATCCATCATCAGGTTACAATGTGTCAATGTTACATGCATGTCCTCAAGGATGATCATCGGTAACAGTATGTTGAATTGCTGTCTGCCTGTCTTGGTGATTTTGCCTGCCACCACTGAGCTATGACTATGAGCCTATGACTGAGCTCACATGCATGTGGCACAGGACTGCGTTATGGCGGCAACATGCTGATGATGCAGTGCAACAGTGGTCAATCACAGTCCATAATAGATGGCAGATGCATGGAGCATATATGGTGTAGTCCAGCCCAATGACACCTTCTCTCCTTTCACTAAGCTAGTGACCAAGTTGATAATCAAAGCAGGACAAGCAAATAATTCCTCTTGTCAAAAGAAACGGACGGCTATGAAAAATCTTGACCCCCCTATTTATATGACCACCTCCCACAAAGATTCAATGCAAGACAAAGATCATCTTGGTATGCAAGCAAGATCTTGTTGCATTGGAGCATATGCGTTCCATGGCTGCCGCTGAGAATGAGATCAAGATAGGCCAGGTCGACGACGTCCAGGAGCTGCACCGGACGGGCCTGCCGACGGTGCCGGATCGGTACATCAGGGACAGCGACGACCGGCCGGACGGTGACAACGTCTGCGTCGTCGCGCACATCCCGGTGATCGACGTCGGCGAGCTCCCGCGCGGCGACGAGCTGGACAAGCTCAGGCTCGCCTGCGAGGAGTGGGGCTTCTTCCAGGTGGCCGGCGTTCTGTGACGGCCGGGTTGTTGATCGATTCATCGCGCGTCATGCTGAGATGGAATTGGTCTGCATGCGTGTGTGTAGGTTGTCAACCATGGCATCGCGCACGAGCTGCTGGACGAGATGGAGAAGCTGGCGAGGGAGTTCTTCATGCTGCCGCTGGAGGAGAAGGAGAAGTACCCCATGGCGCCGGGCGGGATCCAGGGGTACGGCCACGCGTTCGTCTTCTCGGAGGACCAGAAGCTGGACTGGTGCAACATGCTGGCGCTGGGCGTGGAGCCGGCGTCCATCCGGCCGCCGAAGCTGTGGCCGACGGCGCCGGCCGGGTTTAGGGAGACCCTGGAGGCGTACTCCGCGGAGGTCAGGAAGCTCTGCGGGAGGCTGCTGGCGCACATCGCCGAGACGCTGGGCCTGGCGCCGGCTACGTTCGGCGACATGTTCGGCGAGGCTGTGCAGGCGGTGCGGATGAACTTCTACCCGCCGTGCCCGCGCCCGGAGCTCGTCATGGGGCTCAGCGCGGTCACCGTGCTCCAGCAGGACATGAGCTGCGCCGGCCTGCAGGTGCGCAGTAAGGCCGGCGCCTGGGTGCCCGTCCACCCCGTCCCGCACGCTCTCGTCGTTAACCTCGGCGACACCCTTGAGGCGAGCAGAATTCGCATTTGGTTTCTGTGATTCTGTCCAACACACCACTCGACACTGACCACGCTGCTGCGTATGCAGGTTCTGACGAACGGCAGGTACAAGAGCGTGGAGCACCGGGCGGTGGTGAACGGCGAGCAGGACCGGCTGTCGGTGGTGACGTTCTACGCGCCGGCCTACGACGTCGAGCTGGGACCGCTGCCGGAGTTCGTCACCGACGAGGCGCCGTGCCGGTACCGGAGGTTCAACCACGGCGAGTACAGCCGGCACTACGTCACCAGCAGGCTCGAGGGCAAGAAGACGCTCGAGTTCGCCAAGATTAATCCGCCGGCCGGAGAGCACAACGCCACGGCTCCTCAGGAAACCTGTACCGGTAGTTGCACATAATTTGGTCAAAGCTGCATCTACCTGTGCTTGCAAGTTTGCAAAAGCAAACAACTGTACTACTGAAACTACTGTACTAATGAAAGCATGCAGTGCCGTATCAATCACCTTTCTTATCTGAAAACAAGAATTATTATTGTATTTGTATACAGTATTTGGTGTGTGTTGCTGAGTGCACCAGTCTGTGTCTTGCAACTGTGCAACACGTGTCAAAGCTGATTTTACGTCAAAGTACACAGGCAAAGCTGCTTTGAACTCTGGCCATCAAGTCCATGACCCTACATGGGAATGGGATGACCGGCCGAGCTTATCTCCTGAGGTGCAGAAGATGATAATGGGAGCGGCACCAAAAGGCAGGAGAATTAGGACGGCTCGCTTTTCCAAAAGCTTGTGATATGTTTTTTTTTCCCAAACACATCATCATTCTTGGATGATAAGGGCGACAGAAAAAAAAGGTGGATCTCCTAAGGGCATGTTCGATTAGAGTGGAATGAAGGAATTATTCTTGCCGATCAATGTTATACAAATTAGACAATCGTTCTAGCTATGAATCATTCAATGTGTCTATTTCGAGGTAACCGAACAGGCCTAAAGAAGGCCAGAGGGAAGAATATGGGCATGCTTGGATAACCAATGTAATCCAACCGAATAGGATACCCATGTTCTAGACACGGTATCAGACCTGAAGGGGGCAATCTGTCATGAATCCGGCTTCATCAGAATTGGAGAGCGATAATAAAGCCTGCAACACAAACACAAACACCAACCCCATTTATGGAGAAGGCAGATTAGCTAAGATTTGTCAACCAAAAGATATCGAAACAGGCACACATAATTCATCCTACTGACATCTCAAACAAGTTGTGAGCAGGCATTTGCAACAATCTCCCCCCGGCAGTGAAGCACGTGGCAAAGAGCGAACATTGGCGTAGTATATGCTAGTACTTAGATGATAGTCACAGAAACGAGCATCTTGATCACAGGGATCAAGCATCATGTACAGTTCCAAGGGTATCGGTTCTTCTGCCAAATAACATGCAAGATGAGGCAAAAGGGTCAAGACGCTTGAGCTCACAGCCCTAGATCCTGGGAATCACGAATGTCATCCGCATAAATCTCAACTGAATCGTGCATTCGTATCGGCAGCTAAATCTGCTTGTAACAAGTCTACACTACGAGTAAGCTGGGTAGCTTTGAGCAGTACCAAAAACGAGCTGCAGCAAAAGTTATACTTCAGGCAAGCCATGTTCCAAAACTCTCCTGTATGTAAGCTGGGTCATGGATGCATGTTAGGTAAAGTTGCCTTCCCACTCCACTCGGTCCAAAGAACTGCTGTCCGATCAACCAAGTGTCAAGCTACTGCATCTGCCAAGCAGTTCCTCCTCAACAGTCTGCAATGAATGAAGGATTGGATCAGATGCAAGCTAGCAAAAAACAAACAAACCATTAAACTGTGGTACTGTAACAGGTAGCGCAATTGAATTTACCTTGTACGTTTCAAGCATCAGCTGACCACTGATTTGTTTCTCTGTCACATAATTGACATAAGTTTCCATCAATGGAGCATTTACAGCCTGCAATGAGTAAAATCAGCAAATTGTCTCATGTTTGTTGCATGCATGCAATGTAAAGGATTCCAATAAAGCCTAGGCAACAGCAGATTTCACTTTCCTATTTAACAATTCACTCCAGGTAGCCAAGTGTGGAGGGCGCATAAATTGGGAAATAAACAAGGAACAAGGGATTTGGAGTTCATAACGAAATGCTAGTCCAAAATCAAATTTCCTTGCCCACGTGCAAGTCTAGTAAAGTTTGGGCAAGGAAACCAAACATAACAACAACACAGGATAGCCTACATCAACTGTATGGTACTACTTCTAACAGAAGCAGGAGCGACATATAGTGTTAACGTGACAGTAGAAAGAAACCTGCAAACAGAGCGGGTAGCTGTCCCCACTTGAAATTTCCAGATAGTAAGCCAGCCTCTTGGTTTCTGTTTCCATACTTTCCTCAACCTGTAGACAACATAATCAGCAGTGTCTACAAGCGGTAGAAGAACGGCATCGACTCATACAATATTATAAATATATTGACCTTAGCAAGGTAATCTGGCAAAGAGTAGTGCCTAATCCATTCAGAACTTCTCATGGAGTAGTAGCCATATGTTTCATCAAGAAAAGCATTTTGCATTATGGATTTGACTTCGGAACAACATATGCCATGCATAACATCGTGAAGGCTCGAATCCATCATGCTTCCATCACGTTCTCGTTGGATCTAGGATCAACTTGGATGTCATGTACAGAAGGAATGCGTTGAAGAAAAAAAAAAAGGGTGAAAGATAGAAATTACCAGAGTAAGAAGAGCAGTTCTTGCTTCATCATTGAAGTAGGAAAAGACCTAGCAGATGGGCAAAGGACATAAGAAGTTGCAGACAGAGAAGTGGGTAAGCAGTCTTCACAAGCAGGAGGAAATGTGGAAGCAAAACATTTTCTTGAATAATACTCACCGGACGAAAGAAAGCAGTAGCAGCAGTATCGCTAAGTGATGGTAGTTTGTACTGCTCCACATAGCAGCGGTCCAAATAGCTGAAGAAGCCAGTTACACATCTAATCATGATGCAATAGTTTGACCACATTTTCACAAGCTCTCTGAAAAAGCTGTCATTTTGCTTGTGCATGAGATGGGGCAGAACCTAATAAACAAACAAGAGTGAAAAATGTCAAGCCAGGGGGTAAAGGAAGATATCCTTGCCAAACTCAATTAACTTGGTAAGCATCTCTAAACTGAATTGTACACAGATACATGGAGTATATCTGAAGTGGGGTATTTCGATAGGAATGGTACCATGGTGGTTCTACAGTAAATCAGGGTAGTGTCTACTGTAATAAAAATGACATTACAGAGGTACTACAGTAAAGCAGGGAAACGACAGTAATACATCTTCTGCTTTCTCACTCTAATCCATATCTATTTTGTTTGTGACAAACTGTTTTTTACTTTGTCAATGAAAATTTAGGTATGAGCCTCTCCTCCAGAATTCGTAAAGAAACAGTAATGTTTTGTTATGTTTGTACATGACCACACAAATATGCACAGAAATTAGATTATTACACTTTAAAGTTTCAACCATAGTAGTTCACTACTGTATCCACTTTATTTATAATATTAGCACATGCCTATTTCACATCACATCAACATATCACAATCATGTGTAATTTTGTTGTGAAAATGTATCTGCTTTTGTTGCTAGGGCAATTAGAGACACGATGGCTTTTGCAGCAATTCCTGCTGGTGTCAGCTCGTAATTTGCCTCAAATCAAGGGCAAAACACAATAGTAAAAGAAACCAAATAGTACTGTAGGTAATAAATATTCAGCAAATAGTACAAATGTAGATCTAAGCTTCATTTTTTTTACAGGCAGCAAAGCTCTGGTATAGTTGATGTGGATCTATACTATCAAAGATTTATTAGCCAGAGTTTTAACTGAGGAAAAATATGGCACTAACACAGAAATTGCCATGAAATAGCTCATGTGTCACAAGGAGATATAAAAAAGGCAAGAACTGCACCCACAGTGGTCCTTTTTCAGACATATGGTTTTAGTCATCCCTTTTCAGCATTAGAATTCGAGATGTTCAATTCTAGAATATTTTACCTCAACTACAGTAGGTTATGGAGTAGAAACAAATAATAATAATTATAGTACCATTGTGCGGACACATTCTGCAAGCGTCATCCTGAAACCATTGTACATTTCTTGGCAGTAATGTTGTTTCTGCACAGCCATCTTGTAAGCACAACTAGAATAATAGAGGAACAAATGATGAGCTGCAGCTTTAAGTAGCACATGGATAATAGTAAAGATATGTATTGCATCTTGAAGCTGTAGAAGCATACTCATAGTAGTTCATGTACTCGTTCACAGTAGGCCTTGTACTGGTGCACTCCAAAATCTTCGAGCATTTTAAAATCCCCTGTTCCAGGACTTTCCAGCCCTCCTCAAAGCTTAGGTGGCCGTTCATTTTGCTATTTTGTTCTGACGCAGCTGCAGTAGTTAAAAATGTATCAGAAGTTTTTATTTTTTTTAGATTCAGCAATAACAGAAGAAATGAAGCAAAGATAGATCTTTTGTTATGCAAGTGCTTCTGGAACAGATGGATTCCGCGTTGCAGATGTAAGGATCTATGAGTGATACATATGAACTTGATACTATAAACTGCAATGTGAATATCTTGCGCACATAAACCTATTTCTATCCAGTTGCTAAAACTATCAACTCATAAATATGACATACACAAGGAACTAAGGATTGAGGAAGACATACCCAGACTTCAACATAAATTAGCATACATTATCAATTCACTGAAACTGGGTAGTACAAGTACAATGAAGTTGTCAAGATTAACATTTTGATGTAATGGCCAAAAAAAACTAAGAGCAGATTAACATATTGATGAAACAACCATCACAAGGTATCAGTCAAGGCATGGCCAGATGATGCATTCGATAACACGATCTGTAGCTGAAACTCAGGATACTAACTTGAAGGGGATGACAAAAAAAAATCATGGTGAAAAACAGTACAACTATAAATGACACCTTGTACGTAATAAAAGATAAAGCAAGCAAGATATTGGCAGCCAATCAACAAAGCAAGCATACGCAATTGGATGATCACGTCTCACCGGACATATTCGTTTGGTTTCGGTCTACTCAAATTCCTAGAAAACAAACAAGTACAAGCATTCACCACACATCGCGACAGATTTCTGGCCACACAATTCCCACACACCATTGATCCCAATGTAAACAACCATAGGTTCATAGCAGGCGCGGACTAGGCCAGAGACACGCGTCACGGGGCTGTCCCGTTGAAACCCCAGACTTTGCAGACAAAACGCAACCCCAGGCAGAGGGTGATTTCGCGCGGGGAAGAACGAAGGAGAGTCTAACCCTGTGACCCAGGCAGCCACGGGCGGCTGGACGGAAAGGCGCAAAGGAGGCTAACGGGCATGACTAGACGGAGGGATTCCGATTCGATCGCTCCGCTCCCGATCGCAGCGACGGGGGAGCTGGGGGAAACGAGGCCAGGCGAGCACCCGTCAACCGATGGTTTCCGCGAGGGGAGGGGACGACGAGGACGACGGCGAGGAAGAGGAGGCGGCGGCTAGTACCCACGGAGGTGGAGGCGTCGGTGAGGATCGCGCAGTGCTGCTCCCCGCCGGTGGCCGCCCGCCTGGTCTCTCTATAGCCCGCCGGCCGCGCGCGTGGTCGGACGTGGGAGCGCTGCGGCGGCGGATGGGGGTGAGTGAGGGGTTTTCAAGGGATTTCGTTTCTTCTCTCCCTGTCGGGGTGTTTTTTTATTTTCTTTTTTTGCCGCTGCTGTGGAAAAGGTGGAAAAGGCTCGGCGGTGGTGCGGCCCGGCCCGGGGGCTCCGGGTCTGGACTGGAGTCCGGAGGGCAGCCAGCAGCGGCCTCGTCCTTTTCTTTTCTTTTCTTTTTCATAATAGAAAAAGGCTGCGGCCCAGTAGTTCATGGCATGTATGGAAAAGTTGTTTGCCCATACAGTTCCATCGAACCAAAGGCACTTCAGTTTGTATGTCTTGGACCTGACCAGGTAACAGTTTAAGAGATGCTTATGGAGATCAACATGTAACCAAATGCTAGAGAAAATGTGCAATTAGGCACTAATCGAGAAATTGCCAATCATATGACTGTAAAATTAGTGCTTATTAAGATCTCATCAAAAATAAAAAAATTAGCAACTAGTCTGGATTGAGTACAAATTACCATTCAAATAGACATATCTCGCAAGCCTTGCTGATTAGTCCTCGATAGTTTGAAATCTGGAAAAAATCTAGAGAGGGCTTGGTGCGTGGTGGCAAGAAGCGAAAACTGAGACAAAAGTAGGGACCACGTGTGATGTGTTCTAGACATAGGCTTCCTAGGCTTCTGTAAGGTAGGGCCATTGCATTGCCCACTTTGATCGAATATGAATACAAATAGACATAGCCAAAACTTCCTATTTATAAGTACGAAGGCAAGTAGGGAGATATGGATACGAATATGACGTTAGTTTTTTTTTCTCTCGGATAAAGATAATGATGCATTTGTCGCATATGAATATATATCTTGTAGTATAATACATACATATCAAATATCCAACTTTGAGTATTCAGATTCGAACACAATATAAATATTGAGTGTTTCGATTCTGATACAGATTATCCATTTAGTAACTAAACTCTGCTAGGTGAACGGTATCGAAAACCTCGTCCTATTTAGCCAAGGGTAAATCGGATGGATGATTCCTTTATTTTAAGTGTTTTTTTAATCTAAATTCATTATTATTATTTCATATATAAGGAAATAAAGAAACAACATGCCAAAAAAAATATCCTTCACATTTCTTGTCGGTGAAACCAACACGTAAATATTTATAGTTTTGCCGTACGTTGTGATCGGATGTGGCATAGCACTCAATGATACAGAGTTTATACTGGTTCAGGCAACGTGCCCTACGTCCAGTTTGAGTCAGTCAATGACTTTATTCCTGAGTCCAGGTGCTCGAAGTCTGCTGTGGGGTTACAAACGGAAGGGAGTAAGATGGGGGTGCAAGAGGTCCGATCGGACTCTGGACCGAAGGGCCAAGAGAGACAGGAATTCCTGCGTGTGCTAAGTATTTGAGCGTGTGCTCTGTTAGAATACTTGGTTGTTCGGATCATTGGAGTGTGTTTTAGTTGTTGGAGAGTTGAATCGCCCGCTATTGGGAGAGAGTGCATCTTCTTTTATAGACGAAGGGGATGGCCTTACAAGTGATAGAAGGAGAGTGTACGTATGTTGATAAGCCTTGTTGCCCACGCCGTCGGGTATAGGATGATGGTAGGCGCCCACAACACTATTGTCGTCAAACGCATGTGTGAGGTTTTACCGTGTTCACTATGTATGGTAAATGACGGCGCCCACAACACTGTTGATGCCCAGAGTCACGTGGGGAGTCTTACCGTGTTCGTCTGGCATGGGAATTGATGGCGCCCGGAACACTGTGGGGTAAAACTTCGGCGCCCACAACATTGCTTGGGTTCTGACATGTCTCGAAGGTTTGCAGGGCACCTTTCTGACATGCCCTGTTAGTACTGTCCTGTAGGTGTATAGGGTACGGTCCTCAGTATTGTGGTTTGACTTGAGCGCCCTGTTTACTTGCTCCGCCCGCTTCCTGGTCCTCACCGAGCGGGTGTCCTCGGTTGGTTGGTCCCAGTCAGCTCCGACTGTGCCAGTCGGAGAAGAGCTGTAAGTAGAGGTTCGGTGTATCCCCGGTCGAAGACGTGGGTCGGAGTCAGAAGCGGGCATCGTCCCTCTTTGGCCAGGCCTTCCGGTCGGAGAGGCGGGCTGGAGTCGGAAGCGAGGCCTTTCGGTCGGAGAGGCGGACGAACACCGTTCTGGCCTGTCGTTAAGTTTTTGGGCTGGCCCAGGAGTTGCGTGTTTGTTCGCGACGTCGTCTGCTGGGCTGAGCTTTTGCCGGGAAGCCGGTCCATGAGGGACCCCGGGTTTATGAACCCGACAGGAGCCCCCAAGCCCCCTGGCGATTCGGGTAGAATCGTCTGGGGGTACTTTGTTTTGTTAGCGGGGGAATTTTTTGTTTGTTTGACAGCGGATGCGCACGAGCGCACCCGCGGGTGTAGCCCTCGAGCCCCCAGGAGATTTAGGTAGAATTGCCTGGGGGGTTTTGTAAGCGGGTGTGCACGTGTGCACCTTGGTCGAGACAGAGTCGTGCGTAGCTGAGGTAGTTTAGGGATCGGGCAAGATGAGCTCACGGACCTAGGCGTCGGGCGCAGCCGAAGGATCGGGCGAGACGGACTCACGGACCTATCGTGCGCAGCCAAGGTAGTTTAGGGATAGGGCGAGACGAACTCACGGACCCAGGCGTCGGGTGCAGCCGAGGGATCGGGCGAGATGGACTCGCGGACCCATCATGCGCAGTCGAGGCAGCTTAGGGATTGAGCGAGACGAGCTCGCGGATCCAGGCGTTGGGCGCAGCCGAGGGATCGAACGAGATGGACTCGTGGACCCATCGTGTACAGCCGAGGCAGTTTAGGGATCGGGCGAGACGAGATCACGAACCCAAGCGTCGGGCGTAGCCAAGGGATCAAGCGAGATGGACTCATGGACCGTCGTGCGCAACCAAGGCAGTTTAGGGATCGGGCAAGACGAGCTCGTGAACCTAGGCGTCGGGAGTAGCCGAGGGATCGGGCAAGACAGACTCATGGACCCGTCGTGCGCAGCCGAGACAGTTTAGGGATCGAGCGAGACGAGCTCACAGACCCAGGCATCGGACGCAGCCGAGGGATCGGGCGAGACGGACTCACGGACCCGTTGTGCGCAGCCAAGGCAGTTTAGGGATTGGGCAAGACAAGATCGCAGACCCAGGCATCGAGCGCAGCTAAGGGATTGGACGAGATGGACTCGTGGACCGTCGTGCGCAGTCGAGGCAGTTTAGGGATCGAGCGAGACGAGCTCGCGGACCAAGGCGTCGGGCACAGCCAAGGGATCGGGCAAGACAGACTCACGGACTTGTCGTGCGCAGCCGAGATAGTTTAGGGATCGGGCGAGATGAGCTCGTGGACCCAAGCGTCGGGCGCAACCGAGGGATCAGGCGAGACGGACTCGCGGACCCGTCGGGCGCAGCCGAGGTAGTTTAGGGATCGAGCGAGACGAGCTCACAGACCCAAGCGACGGGCGCAACCGAGGGATCGGGCGAGACAGACTCGCGGACCATCGTGCATAGCCAAGGTAGTTTAGGGATCGGGCGAGATGAGCTCGCGGACCCAGGCATCGGGCGCAGCCAAGGGATCGGGCGAGACGGACTCATGGACCCATTGTGCATAGACGAGGTAGTTTAGGGATCAGGCGAGACGAGCTCATGAACCCAGGCATCGAGCGCAGCCGAGGGATCGGGCGAGATGGACTCGCGGAACCATCATGCGCAGCCGAGGCAGTTTAGGGATCGTGTGAGATGAGCTCGCGGACCTAGTCTTCATGCGCAGCTGAGGGATCAGGCGAGATGGACTCACGGACCTGCATGCGCAACCGAGGCAGTTTAGGGATCGGGTGAGATGAGCTCACGGACCCAGGCGTCGGGTGCAACCGAGGGATCGGTCGAGATAGACTCACGGACCTGTCGTGCGCAGCCGAGATAGTTTAGGGATCGGGCGAGACGTGCTCGTGAACCTAGACGTCGGGTACAGCCGAGGGATCAGGCGAGACGGACTCGCGGACCATCGTGCGCAGCCGAGGTAGTTTAGGGATCAGGCAAGACGAGCTCACAAACCCAGACGTCGGGCGCAGCCGAGAGATCAGGCGAGACGGACTCGCAGACCCGTCATGCGTAGTCGAGGCAATTTAGGGATCGGGTGAGACGAGCTCATGGACCTAGGCATCGGGCGCAGCCAAGGGATCGGGCGAGATGGACTCACGGACCCGTCGCGCGTAGCCGAGGCAGTTTTGGGATCGGGCGAGACAAGCTCGCGGACCCCGACGTCGGGCGCAGCTGAGGGATCGGGCGAGACGGACTCACAGACCCGTCGTGCACAACTAAGGTAGTTTAGGGATCGGGCGAGATGAGCTTGCGGACCCAGGCATCAAGCGCGGTCAAGGCTTTGAGCCCCGTTGGGCTCGGTAGGGGTTGGTTTCGTGCGTTAGCCCATCCACGGTTTCCATAATCGCAGGGGCTGAGCTTACGTCGCTTGCCTCGATGGCTCGAGTGACACGTTCGGTGAGCTCGCTAATGGGCACATTCGAGTGAAATCCTGGTTCGTCGTTCGTGACGGGGTCGGCATAGCCCTCATGTGGCATTCCATTGCTTTTAACCCACAACCCGACAGATGCCTGGGTCATTTCGGAGACCAACCCGGGTGGCCCGCTGGCCTCCCCTCGATGGAGATTCTGTGGGCATGGCTCGAGGCTAGGATCGAACGAGAAGGTTGAGATGACCCTGTCTGCTATGGTGCAGACTAGG